TTCCGAGGACAGGGCTGAGCAACCTTGTGCCAAACATGAGAGGCGCCCCCAGCCCTCTACCTGTGTGCAGGATATGGGAGAGCCTCCCTCCTTCTGTGTAACATTCAGCCTGGGGGCGAGACAACCAACAAGGACTTTAGCACCCCCTGGGGTGATGGCCAGATCATCGTAAAAATAATAATAGGGCTTGTTTGCAATAGAAGGGAATTCAGGCTGAGAAGGATCTTGGCCTCCCTCCAGGTGGTGTTGGTTACAAAAGCACCACAAGGGCCGCCTTAGAAGGACTCAGGGGTAAGGCTGTTCTTAGCCCTCAGGGATGGTGGATGGTGAAACCAGGGAGTATTTAGGAGAAGGATGTGTCTGTCGGCATAGTTACTGGTGGCACAGTGCCCCACGGCGTGTCCCCACCGGGGACAGAGGATCAGCTCCACGGGTGATACAGCGGGTTTGGAGTCTGGAGATGAGCAGGTCTAACCCCCGTCCAGCCACCGACGGGCAGGCTGACCCCAGGGCAAATCACTTTGTGTGGTTTCCTCATTTGGAGAGAAAAAAATAAGAGACAGAATCTGATCTACCTCTCAGAGGTTCGAGATAGTTTCTGTTTTGCTTTTTGTGAAGAGCGACTAATAAAAATGATACCGAACCCCTCTGAAAATAAATACTGGCTCTATGCATTTCTAGCAATAATAGCTCGTATTCTCATTGGGATCGTGGCTCGATTTACCATGATAAAATCACTGGTAAATTTCTAAAAAGTTACTCCTTTGTGCACATACCTTACCCATAGAAAAGGGTTTTCTGTTTGGGGGAAGTTAAAGGACACCCCGAGTCATTCATGTGGGGGGCTATGTGTTTCCCCCAGCTGAATAGCACTGGCGCTCTCTCCCTGGTTTCCATTTTAATCATATTTCAGAAATGGCTCAACTTCGGATTCTGAACTCTCACTTACTGAGAGTGAATTTAGAAAAAATAATGAGATTAGCAGATAAGTAAACAAACATTTTAATTGAGGTTCAAACTTAGAAGTACTTGGGGGCAGTATGGAATTACATGTTTCCATATTCTTTGTTGATCTGCATGAAACCAAAACCCAGAAGGTTATATTAAACATAATCACCTAACTCCACAGGGCCTTGGGAAGGGTTTTAATGTGGCAATTTAGAGGCATGTGATCGCACACAACACAATGACACCAATGAGTGTTTCTGTTACTTTTGTTTCTTCCAGAAAGGAAATTAGCTCTGGGGGAGGGCAGAAAAGTACCACATTTCGGGTCCCCCCAAAAGGACATATCTTGCAGCACCTCACTGATGCCGCAGGAAAGGTGGATTTGAGTCCAGCATGGAATGAGGTCTTAATGCAAGTTTTATGTTATGAGAATCTGGATCCTGGCTCGTAGGAATGTTCTAAGTTGAACACTTCACCACATTCGATTATCTTTTTTTTTCTATATTTAATACCTATTTCATAGACTCCCATCTTAAAAGCTTTCTGATAGATTGGCAGCAAGGAGCCAATGCTCTTGTCTAACTGAACTGGGTTCCCGCTTTCTCTCTAGCTGCTGAGAAACCACTGGTGTCTGGCGTTAGACCCAGAATGTCCTGGAAGGCCCAGTGGAACAGAAGTGGAAGAGGTGGTTCTCTTCCTTCTCCCCTGACATCATGCTGCCACCAAGTTGCAGGTGCCAAGTGCTTACTGGCTTCCTTGCCTTTCCCCCTCTGGATCCTAAGTGTTTTTGCTAGTCAGAAGGCAGGCCTGAGGGTGTGCAGCCTTCTGTTTATTCCAACTCAAAGTGTCTAAGGACATTCGTTTAGCTGAGGACACACTCCCTAACAAGCTATTTGTAGATTTTGACCCCAAAGATTCTTGGGAGCCCAATTTTTGAGAAAAGACCTGGTTTTTGTAAACACAAGTCCTGGACCACCAGCCTGCACCTCCCTTTAGATTTTCCTCACATCAAGAAGGGGCCCTTCAGAGCTGCCCTGTCCAGTCCATAGCCACTAGCGACAGGTGGCTAGTCATATTTCAATTAAATCAGGTTAAAAGAAATTAAAATTTTAGTTCCATTCACACTAGTCACAGTTTGAGTGTGCAGTAGCTGTGCCTTATCAGACAGTGAAGAGGGAGAACATTTCTGCCATCCCAGAAAGTTCTGTTGCCTGTGTTGCTTCAGCAGATACCCAGCCAGGGCCTTCATTAATATTGGTCTCTAAGAATCTGAGACACATAAAGGTTAAAAACTTTCCCAAGGAGATCTAGGGATTTATTGGACTATGTTTGTTGGCCATTTGAGAGTCCTGGAGGATGTCCTGTATGCCAGTCTTGATGTTTGAAAGAAAAATTCCACATTAAATGTATATTTGCTTTTTTGCAAGTAAAATAATCAAGTATAAAACAACAGTCTTGAAGTATAAAGACACTGATCCTTTTTGAAGATGTTAACTTGGCAGTGTCAATTTCATCTAAATTGTATTCCTATTTTTAGTGACCTATGAATTTCACAAGAAAGAGGAAGTTTGAGTTAATATTTGGAGGCCCAAGAGCACTGCTATATTTATTTCCTCTCCTGGACGGTGTTCATTGTACTTCTAAAGACACGTGGAGACTTGGAATCAGTTACAGGAGAAGATGTGGGGTCAGCCCTGGGGTCGCAGAACACCACCCACAGTCTGTCATCATTGGTCAGACTCGGTGGGCAGCAGCACAACAAGCTTCTCTTCGTAGATTCTTAGCCTGATTTACAGCCAAGACTCTCAATAAATACCTCCCTCCCTCACCCTCATCAGGATTCATGTATTACCTGGTGGAAGATCACACTAGGGGCCAAAACCCACAGTGGTGGGAGGGCTGAAGCCCTTTCTTCATCGTAGAATCAAATACAAAGAACCATAGAGCATGAAAGAAGGGATTCAAAACTCAGGGACTCCTGAAAGAGGCCCTCCAGAAAGGACCTGGAAAGTTCCTTTAAGAATAACCTTCCTAGGGCTTCCCTGGTGGTGCAGGGGTTTAAGTCTCAGAGCTATCAAGCTATCACCAGTCACTGCGACATGAGTTCGATCCTGGCCAGGGAGCTGACCCACATGGAAGGCAGACCTCTCCTGTCTCACCTGCTGCTCCCCTCAGCAGTGTTTTTCAGTAGATCTGTCTGTTCTGCCCCCCACTCTGTCTCTGGTAAAGCCTCTCACACACACCCTCACCTCTGGCCTACACCCCCGTTCTTACATGCAAAAGTAAATAAAAATAAATCTTTAAAAAAAGAATAACCTTCCTGCTAGACTTCCTTGTACAGGATTTGCCTCTAGGGAGATCAAAGGGAATTCTGGCCCGTTGTTTTAAGTTATTAATTAAGTGAAAATGATCTGTCATTATTTAAGAGCCAAAGCATGGTATTGAGAGAAGCTGGAGAAAGAATCTGAACTCACCGTGGCCTTTATTCATTTCCTCTTTATAAGAAACACTTTTCCCATGTTCTTCTGAGCTTCACCTACCCACCCACAGGCAGCAAGAAAATGCAAAAGAAAGCAGCAGCGTGTCTCTTGGCACAGAGGGTTGGATTTTTCTAACTCTGAACCTTAATTTTTGGAGAAAACACCATGAAAAGCCAACATGGATATGACTTTGTCCAACAGACACTGGGAACTGGACAGTGGGAAAAGTACTGGCCAGTGCTCCAGGTGAATTCCGTAAGAAGGTGCATTTCAGAACAGCAAACCAATAGGATTCAGAGGATAAAAGACCAGGTGAGACATGAAGCTTCCAGCAAATACCACAGGGCAGGGCAGGGAAGGTCCAAGACCCAGAAGGCCAGGGAATCAGCAAACCCCACTATTCTGCTCTGTTTTGTGTTCTGTGTTGTGGCGAAGGGCAAGGACTCTGTGATTCTATTAGCCAGAGGGGAGCTTGCAGCTAGGTGAGATCTCTGTGTTAAGAGTGTCTTTGTTGGGCCTCCCCTGGTGGCGCAGCGGTTGAGCGCTGGCCTGCAAAAAAAAAAAAAAAAAAAAGAGTATCTTTGTTTTCTCAAGGCAAACCCTTCTCCCACCTGGACTCAGCCCAGCAACGTGCTGCATGGCTCCTACAAATGGGCCCTTGGTCCGCACCACCCGACCATTCAGGTGATGGTGTAACCACACTTCTTAGAAGTAATTATTGGTGAAACCAGGTGTTCTTCCTAACTTTTGACCTATTAGAAGGAGGAAGTGAGATGAGGAAGAGCTCAGGGAAGGCCTTAACCTTGTGTGCTCTGAGGGGCAAGTTAGGGAAGGAATTTTAGGCGTCCAGAGTGGGAGCACAGTGAGAAGAAATGAAACCAGGGAGAAGTGTCAAGCGATGGCTGTGGAGGTGGTCTGAGCTTTAGAAAGGGGTGACTCTGGGGCCTCCCTGGTGGCGCAGCGGTTGAGCACTGGGCTGCGAAGCTGCCTGCAGCCTCTGCAGCGCCAGTTCGATCCCTGACTGCTGGCAAGGGTCCCACGTGGAGCACAGACCTCTCCTGTCTCGCCCGCTGCTCCCCTCAGCAGTGTATTTCATCAGTCAGTCTGCCTGTTCTGCTCCCCACTCTGGCTCTGGTGAATCCTCTCACCCTCCCGCGCTTCTGACTGTACCCAGTGCTTGTGTAAATAAATAAATCAATCTTAAAAATAAATAAATGGACAAAATTTTTTAAAAAAAGGGGTGACTCTGGCCACCAGGCCTTGCCCCACCATGATGGTGGCCCTGAATGACGGAGCTTTGGGGTGGTGCTGTGGCCAGAAGCTGATGGTGCTGGTGGGTGGAGGTAGGGGCAACTGCCTGGGGAAGTGTGGGGTGAAAGTTTTACTTGGCACAGGTGACACGTGGCCTTAGGCTGGCTGGTGAACTCAGGAAGGGATGTCCGATATTGGTGAAAACCCCAACCTCAGCTCCACAACTGTGAGCTCTGAGCCTTTGTGGAAAGTAACGAACCTCTCTGAACCTTTGTTTCCTTTCTCTATTGTGGCTGACTGAATAATGGTCCCCTCAAGCAGTCCGTGTCCCGCTCTCCAGCATGTCGAGTATGTCACCTTACATGGTAAGTCAGACTTTGCAGAAGGGGTTTAGTTAGGGATCTTGAGATGGGAGATCATTCTGGATTGCCCGGGTCCCTGCAGGGTCTTGTGAGCGGGACTCAATGCGTGATGCTGGGTGGAAGCAGAGGCTCGCGTGCTGTGAGGAAGGAGCCAGGACCCCTCCCTGGGGCATCTATAAATTAAACGTTGGAAAGGCAGGGAAGCGGAGACCCCCAAGAACCTTTAAAAGGAGCACAACTCTGCTGGCACCTTGATTTTAGCTCAGTGGGACCTAACCATTCAACAGTAATGGTGCCCACGTCACAGGATGCTGTGACAGGTTAAAGGAGATGGTATCTTGAGCACTTTAAGTTTATGGCAAATAAGTGGTAGATGGTTTTGTCCTGTGTCTTTAAAAATCATCAGAGCCTGGATTGCGTCTCAAGTATGACTTAAAGGCTGCCCACTGAATGCACTATAGGGCAGCAGCTGGGGTCCAGGAGTTCCTGACTCCCCCAGTCCCCTTGGAGCATGCTGCCTGTGGGCACCCCCTCCCCAGTGCAAGCCGAGTTTGACCACGGAGCCCCTAAGGGGCTCTGGCATCAATAGAGTGAGTTTCCCACCAGCTGCCCAGAAGCGCTATGGCTGCCCAGGCTGCCCCAGCGGGAGGCTGCGCAACAGCTACATGGAGGCGACCTCCGTGCTCCAGGCTTGATGGCCAGGCCAGCACTAGCCAGGTTTCAGTGCCAGAGCTGCCCCTCTACCATGGCCCTGGCACCCGCCCCAATAGAGTGCTGTGTGTGGGCAGCACAACCACCATTTTACTGCCACCACTGGGGCCTGGGCTGTGGCAGAGGCACTGGCAGTGGTGACGGGCGGCATCATTCCCCTGTCATGCACCGTCATGCACCCCAGGCAGGCAGCCCCACTGGGACTGCAGTGGCAAGGTTGTCCCGTGCTGGAGCAAGCTCTGGCAGAGGAGATAACCAAGCTCCTTGGCCCCTGGTTCAGGGCTGCAGGGAGTAGCTTGGGGCCCTACTGGGCCAGTGCCAGTGCTGCAGCTCCCTGGAGCCACAGGCAGTGGAGAGCCCTGTTGCGTCTCAGGTCAATATGGTGGGCTCCCAGCTGAACCCACTTTGCAGCAGCTGGGACCCATGTCCTAGTGTTGCAACAAAACACCCTGCCCCACCCTTACAAGGTTACACCTGGCCCTGCTGAAGGGGCCTGGGTGCAGAGCGCCTCAGCCAGAACTGAGGCTGGTTTGGCTATGGCCTCTCAGAACCCACCAGCCCATGCCCCAGTCCTGACGTCAGGGCAGGTTGAGTCTGTGCAGGTGCCAAGTTTTCCCTTTTGTATTTGGCGCCTGGATCATAGAATGGACCAATCAGGTGGGACCAGTCAGGCTCAACTGGTTACTTATTAGGATCGGAAAATAAGGATGAGCTGATTGGTGCTAAATAGTCCAATCAATCACTTAGGATTGAAAACAGTCCAATCAGGTTTGTAGGAGTCCAATCAGGTGGGAGGAGACCCTGAAAGAGAATAAAAGACAGAGCAGGAGACTTAGGATTCTTTTCGTGGATTCCCGAGAAAGCAGAAGCATCCAGCAGCCACCTCGAAAGAAAGAAGAGAAGCTGAAGACCTTTACCGAGACGCGGTCCCAGCCCCTGCTCCAGCCCTGCCTCTGGAAGGAGCACTATAGCTCAGCCTAGTGCCGCAAAGAGCTGTTGTGCCATGAGTTCACTCCAATAGCTCACAAATAGCTGTTAATACTGGGGTGTCTGACGCCGCCTCCTGGTGACCAGCACTGCTGAAAGATGACCATCACTCTTTATCCAGGTCACCTCCGAGAGCTGTCCACCACTTCTGATCATGTGGCACTGCCTCCCAGTGCTGTTGCCTGCATTGCTGTCCAGTCCAGCATCTGGTGCTGTCCAGCTGGGCCTTCAGACTGTGGCTGCGGGCTGCTATGGTGTCATCTCAGCAACCCTGCTTCTGAGCACCTCTAGCTGCGGTGAGTTGGATCCTGGCCTCTGCTTGCCAGGATGCCAAGAGCTCCAGGCCCTCATTGATGGGACAGTGCCATCTTGAACAAGTGGACTTTTGTTTGGGACCTCTGGACGCTATGGACACTCTCTGGGGTGAGTTTCTCCTGTTTGGTTAAACCACATTAGCATTCCGTGAGCCTGAGTGGTCTTGGGATTGAGCATAAAGGTAAGAACACACAGACAGTGACCTGTCCTCTACCTTGGGGCTGTCCTTGACCCACTATAGCACTGTAGCTCTGTTTCAAGACCTCTACCTCTAGCAACAATCCAAAAAGTCAACACAAACCTTTGAAACAATAGATCCCAAAGGGCAGGATTTGATGAATTATTGATAGTGTCCTGCATTTTTGTCTTCACATTTCATCAGAGAAATATGCACCCCTAACCAATCAAGTGCTTCTCGTTGCCCACCCACATCTTCCCCAGGCCCAGAACCCTGTGGCATTTGCTTTGACTCAGACAGATGCCATCTTGCCTTTAACAGCCGTCCTGAGGCCTCTAGGTGAATCTCTGAGGTGGCCAATGGTGGCATGCAGCAACAGGTGGTCATCAGCTACTTGTCAGTGCAACCCACACTGCAGCCTTTTTCTGTGTGAAGGTGCTGCCAACCAATCATTGACAGACAAGTGGACTCAGGAATGTATTTAAAAGTTTCACAGAAAATGACCTAAGCTTGGGCCCACTTCCCTGCCTGACCACTTAAAGTTCCCCTGAGCTCTGACCCCAGTGGAGCACTCCTTGGCTCCTCCCCTTGACTGTGAACCTGCATTATGATTCCTATTCTTGAGTTAAGACTTTCTTATATTACGACCTGATTATTTCTCAGTTGACAGCCCCCAATCAGGGGGCTTTTTAGCCACTATAAAACTTTCCCTCTGCCTGCCTTTGAGTTTCTGCCAAGCACAGTGATGGTGGCTGGTTCCCTTGCTATATATAGCAAACTCTAAATAAATAGTCTTGGATTGTTCTCATTTGGTTGGTTTTGTTTATTTCCACATACCACACAGATGCTGAGTGTGGATTTTGGGGTGAGAACATACTCTCTGCTCCTGGCCATGGACAAATTTGGTCTCGTGAGACTGGATCAGAGCAACATCAACTGTGGCCTCACAAAGCCCAAGGACCCTCCTGGCTGCTGCCTTTGTGGCCTGCCCATGGCTTCTGTAGCACCAGGAGATGAGTGTGATGAAAGCAACTAAGTTCTGTTTGAACTTGAATTCGTTTTGGTACTCTGGGTGGAACATAAAGGATATAAGCAGTGAAGGCAAATGGGAAAAATCCAAAATAGTAATTTTGTTTTTTAAGTAACTCTTGGGAGAGAACAATTCAGGAATGAAGACAACATATTTCCCCAGTCGCCTGCATACAGGTCTCATTTTAAAGGAAACAATGAGAAGGTAAGTGTTAAGTGGTGTCATAGGGACTGTTAGAAGGTAATGTTACTTATCTAAAAGCTATTAGGGCAAGGAATTATCTAGGTGGTTATGGAGCAGAGATATTGCAGACACTCTCTACAGACATCTCAAATTGTTGGTCTTTGAAAATAAGGTCCACGCGCAATGTTCTCTGCAGTGTCATTGTCAAGATCGTTCCAATGTTTATAGCTCCATATTATCAAGATGGATTCTCATGACATGTACCTGGCTCCAAGGGCAACAATTGATTACTATCCTGGGAGTCATTTATCATTCTCTCTGTGTGTGTCTTCCTCTCTGTAAATAAAAATGAAAAGTCAGGATGTGGTAATGATTAGGAAAATTGTTGACATTGTGGGTAATTACAGGAATTTGCCTCTTTGATTCGGTTTTTTAATTTAAATCCTTACTCTGTCTTTGTAGATGTTACGGCTTTATTATTTTCTATTGCTGCCCAGATTTTAATAGTTTGGAATAATGAATCATGATGTTTTCCATTTTACATGGTACAGCCCCTTTACATGCACTATTTTGATCTCTTTCACTGTCCCACGAGGCTGGTAGGATGTGGTAAGACAAACTCTACACCCCACTGAACTGTTGAGAAACCTAAGACTCCAAGAGGCAGACTACTTAGCCCAAGCTCAGACTTGCAGCAAGTTTGCATTCAAACCCAGATCTTCTGTTATCAGGGGTTGAGCGCTTGCCTTCGGGTTTGCAGCACTTTTATTGGACACTACCCAGGTCGTGTTTACTCTTTGAGCTGAGAGCAAATGTTTCAAACGTGAGATCTCTTTTAGGGAAGTTTGGAAAAGATTTTTTTTTTTTTGCGTAGAAGAACTGGAGTGTAGGCCAGAGGTGGGGGCGTGAAAGGAGTCACCAGAGACAGAGTGGGAACAGAAAAGGTGGAGTGACTGAAATACACGCTACAGGGAGCAGCAGGCGAGACAGGAGAGGTCTGCTGCACCATATATGGGCACCTCCCTGGCCAGGGATCGAACTCAGTCCATAGGGATGAGCTAATGTTGAGACTTGACCTCCAGATCACCAGGGAGGCCCTAGTTTGGAAAAGTATTAAGGGAGTTGGAAAGCTGCTTTCCTGCTTTAACGACTTAATTAGTAAGTGGAGAGTGGGGGCAGGCAGAGGAAGGTATTTTGCTGACATTGTTTGTGTATGACTGTAAATATCTGCACTCAGAGTCCAGAGCTGCTCCATCCAACACAGGGGCCACCAACCACATGTGGCTCTTGAGCACTTGAAATGTGGCTCTTTCTGAGATGTGCTACAACTGTTAATTCCACACCAATTTCAAAGACATCGCATGGAAAAAGAGTGGTATCTACTAAGTCATTTTTATATTGCTATATGCGGACCTGATATATTGGATTAAATATATAATAAAAATTCATTTCAATTCATGTATTATTTTTAATTTTAAATACAACTGCTAGAAAATGAAAAATGACACATGCAAGTCACATTTGTGTCTCACATTTGATTTCCAGTGGTCCAGAGGTTTCGCCTTCAGCTGACAGTCACTTGGTAGGTAAGGGGAATGAGGCCAGGGGTCCAGCTGCGTCTGAAATGGGACAGACACTCCATAGCAGAGGCCAAGGATAAGCTGGCCCTCCCTGACCTTGGGAATGGGGCCCTTCTTATGCAAGAGCATTAAAGAAGCATCAAGAGTTCCATGTGGCAATTTCAATGGAAACATTTTCACTTCAGAAACTGAGTTTCTTTCCTAAACTCCACCCAAGGCAAAATGGATTATTGCTTCCTGGAAATTGAACCAGGGGACTTGAAAGTGTTTCATATTAAAAACAGAAAAGCCCAAGAAGGAGAAAAATAATTACATTTCTAAAAGCTTTTAGAACAAATGCTTGCTTGTGAGAAATAATTTTCCTATAAATATTTTATTTCTTCTTCTTTTTCTTTTGTTCCCTAGCTGAGGAGTTCCACATGGACATAGGAGATGATGTTTCCCTTGGGAGGGAAGATCAAAGCCGCCCTGGGTCTACGTGCTGTTACGTTTGACTTACGGTCTTCGCAGTTTCTGCTCCCACCGCCCGCCGGGCTCTGAGATAAAGTGCGCTCAACATTTTGGAAGAGCAAAGAATTCAGAGAAAAATCTGTAGCTACATAGCACCTTAGCCCATTGTTTCAAACAGAAAGGCTCAAGGTTTTGGTTAGAGAGAGAAATGTTTATGGCCTGTCTGTGAGTACCTGCCCCTACACAACCCATTTTGAAAGGCAATAGTTAGTAATGCAAATAGCAGGTGACTCCTAACTGATGCTAGAGAAGTCGGCCAGAAGCAAGGAGCCCCTTAAATACACTTGATAAATGTTAACAAGCAAACAGGCAGGCAAGCCACTGGAAGGGAGATCCTGAGGCTAAATACGGGATCTTAATAATTCCTAAAGCTTAGAGTCCAGCCCCACACCTGTCCTTGGAGATCAACAAATGTTTGTTGGAGGACTGGATCCATGAATCAACCCATCCCCAGAGCACTGAGTGCCCCAGGAGGTTAACCTGGAAAGCCGGGAAAATGATGGTACCATGGAGAAAAAAGGGAAAAAACACATTGGTCAATACGTCCAGATGACAGTGAATATCCAGTTGCTCATGGGCAGCAGGTAGCTGAAAAGAGAGGACTCGGGATTATTTTTGATGATCAGAAGCATCAAATCAGCTCTTAGCTAAGGACCCTCGATCATATTTGGTATAATCCTTCTAAAGAAGTAGGGATCCTTTGGGTGTGTCCAAATGGAGCAACTAGGACCATGTAGGGCTGAGAACTGTCACTAGAGCAACATCTACACGCTGCATTGTGCTGTCTTTGCGTTTGGGAGCCTGACGGACATCAGGGATAGACTTGTTCTGTGTCGCTGCTGGGAGACAATTTGCAATGAGTCTCATGTTTCTGCTCAAGTTGCATCAAGGCACGGGTTGCTCTTTGTTCCAGACTATCTTTCCAAGGATGCTTGTGTTGAAAACAGCCTTGGAAAGCAGAGATAACATCTCCCTTCAGAGAAACACACAGATTTGTTTCCTCCCCTGGACGCAGGGTGTCCTTCTCCTGAACAGAGTGCAGCCACGCTCCCTGCTCCTTCTAAAGATCTGAACTCCCTAAACCTAGGGTTTCTCTCCTGCATCCCAACCCACCTGTGTGCAGGTGTCGTCTGGGAACATTTCTTATTCTCTTTCTTTTGTTCCCTAGCTGAGGAGTTCCATGTGGACATAGGAGATGATGTTCCTCTTGGGAGAGAAGATCAAAGCCATCCTGGGTCTACTTGCTGCTAAATTCTTTGCAATTTCTGCTCCCACTGCCTACAGGACTCTGAGATGGGGATACTTTGGCTACTACAATTGCTGGGAATAATAAACACAGGTCTCATCCACACCCACTCACGTTCTCAATCCATTTCCAGTTGAACCAATGATGCCATCATCCACCCAGTTGTCAGGTTAAAACACCAGCTGTCAACTTTGCACTCCCCAAGACACACAGTCATGTCTGTCCAGGCAAAGTCCCTGGATGCTGGCATTGGGGCAGGAGCACTGCCTGGCAAGTCTTCTGTACCTGGTACAGGTAAGCACTTGAGATCTAATTCCTCACATGGCGGCAGTGGGTGGTGGGACACCAATCCATTCAGTCAATCAGTCACTGCCTCTCTCCAGTCCCCATAAACATGGAGGTGGGTACCAACGAAATCTGTTCCATTATTTCGTTAAATGTAGCCAGTGGACTCTACCAAAGTGATTCATATCTCAATACCATCTACCTGAAAAATTTAAGAACAACTTCTGTCTTTAATACTTGGAAATTTTGCATTGTTCCTTTTACTGCTTAAATTCATGTTTTCAAACACCTCCCCCCATTTAATCCTAGTATGAGATTTTTTTCAGTCGAACATTTAAAATTGCTTAGTCTCTCATACTTTTCTACACCAGAAGTTAGGTCTATGCATTTAAATGAATTTTATAACCCTAAGGCTTTACTATTTTGGTTCTTGGACTGAGTAATTATCACAATTATTATTACCCAAAAGCCTGCTTCCTTGGCGGTGCTGGCAGAAAGCTTTATTTCCATAAAAATGCCTTGTGGGGTCCCTGAAGTGGGCTTTTGTCCCCATCTACCTGCCTTTGAACTTCCAGGAAAGTCCGGAGGAGCTGAGAGGTACACACAGGGCAGGGGTCTGATGATGACATGACACTAAGAGAAATCCGAAAGACATGCATCCCCTTTGCACATGTTTAAGTTGGTGATTTTTTCTATTTAAGTATAAATCGCTACAAAGCATATAATTTCCAGTGTGTTACTATTAGGATGACAATGAAACTCGTCCCAAGATTATCTGTGGCAGAACTTTGTTGTATGATATAATCGTAACCCCTTCTGTGAAGTCATTGTGATTCCTGATAAAATGCTGGAGTCATTTCCAGATACTTAATGGGATTAAGAAATCCTGAGAAGTTAGTTTCCCTGCTCAGCACTGATCATACCTTATTAGCCTGTCTCCAGCTGCAGTGACACTTCTTTTTTGTCTATGTGCCTCTCCTGGAAAAGAATCCCAGATTGGCTGACAGGGAGTCTCTACCCTTGAGACCAGCTAGAAATAGGATTTTGACATATACTAATGAGAAGTTATCCTAACAATTGACATCTTTAAGATAAACTTGCTACATCACTTTTCAATTATAGACAATGGAATCTAAATACCATAGTGATTTGATACTCAACGTCATTTTGATGAAAATACAGGAACAAGTTATTATTGACACCTGGGAATTTTACATTGTTCCTCTATTTCTCTCAAATCCATTTTTCCACCATTCATTTTAATATATTTCTTACAACTGAAAATTAAAAAAATTGATTAACTTCTCATCACTTTCTACATCTATGAATTTTTGTGACCACACAGTTTTACTTTTTTTATTTTGGGGTTGAGTAATTACTGCAATTATTATTGATAAAAATGTTTAAGCACATTTTACATATTAATAAATGTATATTAAGCAAGAAATTTAATTTTACAGGAAATACACTCCTTAATTAGATGGACCTTGCTTGTTCCCTCCCCACCCCCTCCTCCAAAGGGTATGCATCCATAAATAGTAATTACTTATTTCTAGAAAGTCATAGGGTTTACCATCTCAAGTCTATTCTTGCTTTTTGTTTTTACAGATATACACTCTGAGAAGTGTAGTTCATAGCAATCACATGGGAATAGAAGGAGTTTTGTTATAGTAATGAGTAGTGTTACTCAACTCTGGAATGAAATCACATTAAGAAAAACTTTCAACTTTGTTGAAAGCAAAAAAATGGGAAAAGGTTGGCAAAAGGATTTGCTTTTCAGTCATTAGCATCTAATAGATAATATAATCCAAGGATTTTAAGTCATACCTTTGGTAATCTGAGGGTTTTAATAATCTACAGAGTTGTGCATGTAAATGAACTCGGTGGGGGGATATAAAAAAAATAAAAAGCTCTGCTTTGTAGCTTTTGCTCATTCCCATGGTGTAAACATTTGTAGCACAACCAATTTCAAACTATTAATTTGATTCACTGACATGAGAAGTTGGGGAGAGAAGAAAATGGTGGGTTCCCCAACCAACATGGCCACCCTGGCAAACTACTGCAGAGCCTCACAGCAACATTCCATAGCAAGTCAAGTGTGCTTCTGTCCAATGTGACAGATGGTTATTAGGAAGGTGGAAGGTGAGCGCTGGTCTGATCTCAGTCATGTTTTCAAGATCTGTTTAAGACAGAGCACCATGGACAATGAACAGGCTGACTTCGTGCCTGTGCACACGGTCAAAAGGCCGTGTCTCCCAGCTTCCCTGTGACAGTGTTTTAAGAGCACTGATTGCAGGAAGGAGCACAGGTCTTGGAGTCAGCTAGATCATGGTTCAAATTCTGCAACTATATCTTATATTTAAGGGCATATTCTTTAACGTTGATGGGTCTCAATTTTTCTCCTATAAAATGGAAGACACTGATACGCACCTTCCAAAGTAGTAAGAACTGATGGTGGTATGCGGACCAGGTCAGCCTCTAACTGACGCCAGCAGATGGGTGTTGCTATCCGAGTTCTTTTAGTGTTAAAAGAGGGTCGATGTTGCAAGGTTGATGCTTAGGTAACCGGTATATGAGGAAAGTGTGGGAGACTTGCTATTTAGGGTCTGGATGCTTTAAAGCAGTTGGCAGCTTTGGTTATCTTAAAATGATCACTTCAAAACAGAACTGTCAGCTTATTTCTCTTTTTCATACAATCTTTCGCATCATGGAATGCAGAGGCTGGGCTTTCCACTCAGCGTGGTAGACACACTCAGTGGCAACAACGGCTGTCTCAGACATCAAGCTCAAGGCTGGTCCATCTTGGACAGAAGCAGGAGGGTTAGAAACCAGGAAACAAAGGCCTCCTTCTAAGGAGGCTTCACCTGTTAGACAACCCCACAGCCAGGCCTCCCAAGGTTTCATTAGACTGAAGTTCCTGGTGGCTCCACTGGCTTGTTAGAAAGACTTTTTAATGACAAGGTCTTATGTAACCAAAATGAATGGCGGGGCAGGATGACGTCATCACATTATAAACAATTCCAGGGCACGACCAGTAACTCATATTGTACTTTATTTTTTCCACAATATTAACTGGACAGACAAGGAAAGTTTTATGGCAATGTGACTTTTTCTGACAACACAAGGAAAGTGCCATTATATTTAATGCTGGCCAACTAGAGACTTGCTTTACTTAACAATCTAAAGTATGCTTACCGTATATGGGTTTTGTGTGTACAACGCTGCAGAGTATCAGTCATCCCTAAAAAGTTATCCATCTAGATAACTGGAAGGTTAAGGTGTGAAAATCTTGTTAACAAAAGCTTTCAATACTAATGTACTTTTTATACATTTATTTTATTGAAAACAAAAACGACCCCAGTAACTCAAAACAAAAGCAAAACTTTGTTGAAAACTTATAAAGAGAGTATAATAAACACAACCACCAACTCTTCCCCAAAATAAATTCGATGGGCTATCATTCCTTCAAATGCTACCCTGGAGAGAAAAACTTAATGAAATGAGCTAGCAGAAAGGCCCACTGCAGAGCCCAAAAGGTCTAGGTATATGGCATTACAAAGGATCTACACTATAGTCATATTTAGTAACACTCACAGGATTTTTTGATGAAGCCTTTCCATCTTCCACAAATGTTTTTGTCTGCTGGGCTTACCTTGGCACACAAAACAACCTTGTCATCAATAGGCTATTGGCTGTATTTTTCTGGGTTAGTCATGATGAATTGGTGCAATACCACTCAGACTCCATCTGGTTTTCTTTGGGCCCAGAGGGATGCATATTTCATGGTTGTCCAAGGTCTGTCCTATGCGCACAGACATGGAACAGAATGATTCTTTGGGAAAGGACAAGGGACTTGTATTATCACTTAACCAATTCAGTTTCACAGTTTTTTCTTCCCACTCCCCCCTGTGTTGTGTATAGCAAATATTTAGAAACATATGTCCCTACCAACCAGAAGGTTGTTGTTAAATATTCTGTTGATTCAAACTGCAGATTTATTGTTTAACTAGCCATTAGGCATATCAAGGATTGAAATTTTTACCACTGATGGCAAATGTTTAATAAAAGTGTTGGTGCACCTGTACTGTACATAGAACTGAACTCTGAGTAGCGCTGATGTCTCTAGATTCTAAATATAGCCACAGGACTTTAAAATGTTTCTCATTTCTCAGGTAATGTACTTCTTGGGGGTATCACATTGACCAGAGTCAAGGTCGCAGTGCCACTTGCTATCATTTCATACCCCACAGTCCTGTCTATTCTCCCGCTCTTGATCCAATCTTGGGAATGTTTTTGCTCATTTGAAAATTCTTCCTCTCTCCCACCCCTGCAACAAATGTCCTTTGTCCCATAATAATTAACAAAAAAATCCCTGAAAGATCCAAATTGAATAACAATAAAGATCTGATTGGAACCTTCATAAGCCTGACAATGTAGAATTGTATTTCTTAAAACGTGTGTAACCACATTTGTCTGGGCTGCAAAAGACACCACAAAATAAGATCAGAATAGAATTTCAACTGACTCCCTAATTTCCTCCAAATGGCTTACATTTCAAGCCCTTCCTGTTTTTTTCTGATAGAGTAGGTATACATTACTAACTATAAGTGATAAGGAAGTATAAAAACAGCCACTGCCTTAACAGTGCAATTGAAAAAATTAGAATTTAAGTTCACATTTATAAATTAGTCATTTTTGCATACGTCTAATTATAGACTATTTGTGATTCTGTTGAACAGACCCTTGGTGTAAAAGAGGGATGTCTTGGGGCTGCCCTACTTATGTTTAATTTCGATTATTCTAGTTCCTCAGTTTATAATCACTTCCTAATTTCCCACACTGAGCCAGGACTAGGTCCTTAGATAAGAACAATATACATTGACTAGTGAAACAAAGTCACATCTAAATGGAAGGTCATCTCTGAATATGCAGATATAAGAGGGTTGGGGCAGAGTCTGCCATCTACCTTTTTTTTTGCTTGAACTATAGCAAGGTGCTTCCTTAAATCGAAATGTGACTTTAATCCAAATCTCAAGCCTATAAGAATGTTCAGCCACTGTAAAATCTTGTGAGATGAGCTGTTTATTCTAGAACATGTCAGCTGTCATTGTGATCTCTCTCTTTCGTGTGCAGTTAGGGTTTAGGTGGATGGCAAAGGTTCTTGGGTGTTTTTCTCCTTGAGGCTCTTTTTCCAGCCCTTGACCCCAATTTGGAAAGCACACGTGTTCTGTTTAACCCTGACCTTGGCCAACATATGCACCGTGAAGATGGCAATTCAGGTACAAATCCCTTCTCAACACAAAACAGGTAGGAATTGTTCCATGTTGTCTGATCACAAAATAATTGAGACAGTTAAAAAAAAAAAAAAGAGAAAAAAATGAGAAGTTGAGGCTTTTATATACATTCATTGCTTCTAACAGTTTTTTAACAACAGGAAAAATGCAACATCAACTACTCTTATAGCGAGTGCAGCCATGATGCTGTACAGCCTGGGGCCAGCGGCCGGCGTGTCTACCTAACCAGCTAACAAAACCCCACAGCAAGAGGAAACCAGGCAGAGGCTAGCCCCCGTGACCTTTTTTTATATACATTTTTAGAATACTCTGCAAATCCCAGTTTGAACAACAACAACAAAAGACGAACAAGCTTTATATTAAAAATGTCCATGTTCTTCATTGTTACTTCTAAAGCAGCTTGGAGGGTCTTGCCACTTGGAGTGTACTGCAAACTGACTCCGTTACGACCATCTTGGTAGGATAGCAGCGCAGGGTTTGATATTTCATACTCATCACTTTTGACAATGTAAACCTTTCATAAAATAATATTTCACTTAAGAATTAGAATCATTCAAAGGTCTGATCGTCCTGTTCCCTGAGGCCCGCCAGGGAGGTCTGGCTTCATACCATGGGTTTCCTGCTTTTTCGGTGTGGGGCAGAAGTGCCTTTGCATTTCAGGACGAACCTGAAGAACGACTCCGGAAAAAGAACCCCGTGGTAGGAGGGCAGGAGAGTTCTAGATGGGTCTATGTTGAAACAGGCCATGTAAAGCCCCTCTAAAGGTCAAGCCATCACAGCCAGAATTTAACTCTCCGGTCATTATCTCCCATCTGGATTTTCAGCTGAACGAATCTTATGGTTTTAACCAAACATGGATACAGTCCTAAATACGATGAGTGAAACTGATTTTCCCAGGGACAAGTAAACCTTCAAGGAACAAGGTCAAAGGGACAACAGATGTATGCCTCACAATAATCCATCGCCTTGACATGGAAAAGCACATGACTTGGTCGAGGCAAAACTCCTCAGTGGCCACCGTGCTCCAGGGGTTCTCAGGTGGCTGACATGCAGGCTTCTCTCACCTTCTCAGAAATGCTTTTAAAGAATTAAGAGACAAAAATCTCAAATGGAAAACAAACGATCATCTTTGCTAACAAACTGTGTACAGGCCATAACTAAATACAATTTTTTAAAAATGCTGAGATGCATGTATTTTTTTTTTAAAAAGCAGCTTTCGAAATATCAACCACAGCATTAAACATTGAACATAGTACATTCCAAAGTTAATACAGATAAATGGTATATAATGCAATAATGCCACAGTTATTCCACCTATGTCTCAAGGCTGATTCTCAACTTGAAAAAAAATATTTTCTAGTTTATTAGCTGGATATTTCACTTCTTTTGCTACGTTCTAGGATTTTCCGCCACTGTTTTTTGTTTTTTGTTTTTCTTTTTGACTGTCCCAGGACGCACTACTGCTGGATTCCAGTAGTACCTTTCTCTTCCCTCTGTCAGGTTTTCAAATATAACCCAACTGCAAGGACAAGACCGTGTTTGACATCGTAATTCCAAGGACGCAGGTCCATTCGTCTATGACGCCTCATTTCAATGTTTCCTGCAGGATGCATGACCCTCCCCAAAGTCATTTTAAAGCCTTGCTTTCATCTGCGGCCGAGCAGCCAGTGCGCTTGCACCGCGGCCTCACTGCGCACAGGCTGGGCGTCTCCTCTGCGGGGGCTTTGCCAGCAGCGTGGTCTCCGGCGCCGGGAGTGGTGCGGTGCCTCTGCTTCCTTCCCTCTACAGTGATCAATGTCTTAAGGGCCTGGGCTGGCGGGTCCACCTGCAGCCAGGGCCTGACCAGAGGCCCCGGGGTGACAGGCCAGTCTCACTCCTGCCCAGTCCTCGTGGTAGCCTGCTGAGCTCTGTCGGCTTTGAGACCACCTGGCTCTGCGTCAAGGCCCTGGGGCGGGCGGGCCAGCAGTGCCCAGGCTCAGTTCCAGGAGGAGGCCTCGGAGCCGGGTCAGGCCGGACCTCAGACTGCGGCCTGTTTTGGGAAAGCAGGCACTTGTGGCGGCCGGATGCTGCGGGGTAGGCCACGTCCCTGGCTGCCGAGGATTCTGCTTTATACACAGACAGAGCCAGTATTTGGAGGGGGAGTGTATCCAAAATATATGAATATACACATCAGGGCTTAAGGTACTGGATGATATTGTATAAATTGCTAAAATGGTTCTCGGCACAATTGGTAGCTTAAAAAAATACTTTCCTATGGTTTAAGGGCATTTTCCCCATCGCTGTCCTTCGATGTGGAAATCTTGACGGATACCAAGTCCATCTGAAGTTCCCGTTTGGTTTTATCTTTACTTCCAAACGGGTATGTACCATGGGAGCCTTATGCAAAGTGTCTGTTCTTTAGGCCAGGGAGGAAAGGACTTCCCTCCCAGCGCCTTCCCTTGATGAATATCACAGCCCCCGGGGCAAACAAATGCATGGAAAATGAACACCTCTTCCCACCCTCCAGCAGCCAGAGCCCCGGCTTCTGGAACAGTCAAGTGCTTTGTCAGCCCGTTTGCTCTTCAGACGGTGATTCAGTCCGGCCAACAAAATGGAGAATAAGTCCACATTTAGAGGCACAGGAGATGCAGGTGGAGGCGCACAGGTGGGGCTTGGCTCTTGGTGGTAGGGTTTCCAAAAACAGGAGGTTTGATGGGACTGTCTTAAATAAATAAATCTTTTTTCTCCACAATGTAAAAAATAAACGGTATTTCCCTTTGGCAGTAAGTAGCTGATGATTCGACGTTTTGCCTGAAAGCGGTTTTTGTTTTTTGTTTGTAAGAGACGGCAGCTTCTCATGGCAGTTTCTCATGGTACATCACCGACAATGCATATTATTTCTACTGCTTTAGTGAACCTTTTGCATATTTGTTGGTGGCAGGTCTGCTGACTTCACTTGTGGCCCAGGTAGGCGCCCAGGCTGATGCATGCCCCCACCAGGGCCAGGCTGAGCAGCGCCTTCAGAGACAGCCAGGAGAAATCAAAGAGAGGTCGCATGCTGGGTCCGTACAGCTCCACGAAGGCATCCTGCAGTGGGGGAGATGAGGAAAGGAAAGGAGATGATTAGAGAGAGACAGCACGCAGGCATGCAGGCTAGCAGCCGAGGCCTCTCTACAGCAGAGGATGCATCGTACCTGGGCACCTGCAGAAGGGTGAGGGGAAGGGAAAATACTCTTTGAGGGTAGTGGTTTCTGACCCACTTTTTTCTTTAAAGATTTATTTATTTATGCATATGAGAACTGGGGTATAGCCTAGAGGTGTGGGGGGTGAGAGGATTCACCAGAGACAGAGAGGGGAGCAGAACAGGCAGACTGATTGAAATATTGAAATACCCTGCTGAGGGGAGCAGCAGGCGAGTCAGGAGAGGTCTGCTGTACCATGTGGGTAGCTCCCTGCCCGGGGATTGAACTCGTGCTGCAGAGGCTGCAGACAGCTTCATAGGTTGTGTCTTAACCCCCTGTGCCACCAGGGAGGCCCAGTTTTTAATACTTCTGTTAGTACCACTTACGACCAGGCCCTGGGGAGACCCTGCAGTAAACGAGTAGACTAAGCATTTCTCTCTCACCAGCTTTTATCTAGTTGAGTGCGACAGACAGTAAACAAAATTCACTTGTCTCACAGTGTATCAGAAAATCAAGCAACAAAAGCCATCAGAAAATATTGGCGACTTGGCAATTTTAGCCAGTGTGCCCAGGCATAAAAATAACTAAAGAAACAATGACAACCATTGCACACCAAACAAGCCAAGCATGGTGATGAAAGCTGCAATGCATTATTTTATTTCTTCTCCACACCGTCATCAGAAGTCATTTTATTTGTTCCCATTCTGGACAGGGAAAGAAAATGAGGCCACTGGATTTATGTGATCCATGGCAGTGTCAGGACTGGTGCCCAGATTCAAACCAGTGCCCTTCATGCTGCTGATGCTTGCACATGGCTTCCAGCAGCAATGTGGCCGTGCTAGGTACCTGGATGCTGATGTGTCAGACAGAGTGGGGAAGGCGGTTGTGATGGTGTTCAGTGTCTATGTGTCACGTCAATCCCGGACCACACAGTGATGATGGTCCCTGCGTGCAGCTTTGGGGTACACAGGCTGCACCATCAATATACCGTCTGATTTTCTTGATGATGTTCACACAATGATGGGATCGCCTAACAATGTATTTCTCATCACACGTCTTCACTGTTAATTGATGCCAGACTGTATGCTGTACTTTATTTAACCAATTCTTTATTTAGGTTGTTTTTAACTTTTGCTACTCTACACAGTATGATACATCTTTAAACACAAATTCTTGTCTATTTGTTCAGTAGGTTTTTGGAAACCTTTTTTTTTTTTTTTTAAAGATTTATTTATTCATTTATACAAGAACCTGGGTACAGGCCAGATGTGCAGGAGGGTGAGAGGATTCACCAGAGACAGAGGCGGGGAGAAGAACAGGCAGACTGATGAAATACACTGCTGAGGGGAGCAGCGGGCATGACAGGAGAGGTCTGGAACGCCATGTGGGACCCTCGCCGGCCAGCTGGGATGGAACCGGCGCTGCAGAGACTGTGGACAGCTTCACAGCGCGGTGCTCAACCGCCTGCGCCACCAGGGGAGGCCCTGAAACAAAGTCTTAAAAGTGAACCCGTTTGACGGGTCACCAAAACTGCTTGCTAGGATCACACAGGGCCGGCGCTGGGCCCTTAGGTGCTGGGCTGTCTTCACTCTCTCATGGGTCACCAGCAGCACCTTTTACAAAAGGCATACAAGACTTTAGGGCGTTGCTTCTCACGGAGGGTAATCTTGCCCTCGGGGGACATTAGGCAATGTCTGGAAACATTTTGGGTAATCATGATTTGGGGTGGGGTCCCCTGGATCTAGTTTAACATCCCACAGCACACAGGACTGCAGCCCCTACAAACAGCTCTCCAGCCCAGGTGCCCATCGTGCTGAGAAATCCTAAACAAGGAGGTTTAGAAGAAACTGTGATCAGGGGCCACAGAAGACACGGTGGGACCTCTGGCGTGTCAACACCGCGGGGCACGTCAGCACACTAGTTGTCTAGCCCCTGCGAGTAACTAGTCCTCAAGTGGCTGCACCTTCAAGGCATGGGATCAATTTCCGCCAGCAGAGGGCGCAAGGGCATTCCTTTCTATTGTTCAATTTCTCAGCTGGAGCCTTAGAAAAGCGAGGCAATAGGCACACACGAAATTGTGCCCATCAAGGAACAGGCCTTCCCTGTATATAATCTGGGGCAAACGGGGCAGGAAGGGGTGAGGACACATTTATGAGAAGGAGAAACTCTGACTCTTGCAGGGTGTATCCCAGGCGCCCCCCACTCAGCTGCAGACGTAGCCGTCCCTGCACACTGTTCCCCTGAGGGATAGGAAAGCTGGGACCCCCCAAGGGCCCTGCCCACGGGCTCCCCAATTCCTTGCACTGGCAATGCAAATCACATCAAGCTGTGTGTGATTCAGCTCGACCTGGAGAGGGTCCGAGGAAGGGTCCGGCGTTCCTTGCGTTGCTGGTGTGGTTCTCTGTCGTGGGATAGGGACGGCTAAGCCCCCGGCCAGGCTGCCCTTTCCGGACTCGGAGCCATTTTGGGAAAGTGGAGGAAAACGCGGGCAGGCATTTTCTCTCAGTTTGCCTGGCACAGTTTGCCTGGCACAGTATACCTCTCCGTATACTCCTTCATCTCTGGGGCTGGAGTAGCTCCCTCTTTGCGCCCCCTTCACCGCTGTGCTTAAAATGGATCTAATGGGCTATTCCTAATGAAAAACACCATTTCTAGAGCAGAATGACTTAAAGGAGCATCTCTTAACCCAAAGAGTGAGCACGGAGGCATGGACACAGCCCCGGGGCTCGGGGGAGAAGGCCTGGATGAGATCCTAGCTTTGTCGTTTTATTGCTTAAGACCCAACCCTGAGCGTCATTAATTTCACCATCGAGTTGGTGGCTCTGAAGATTCACATGGGCGGCCCCGTGGACAGGCGATCCACTGTGGGCTCGTCTGTCCTCTTGCAAACCGGCTAGTTCCCCCCACCCCTGCCCTTCCCGCCCGGGGACCCGGAGCCTGCCATGTTACAGGAGCCATTTTCCAGCCCCTCTAAAGAGTCAGCTTTTGGTGTTGAAGATGGTGGATTTCTAAAGAAATTAGGAATTTCTGAACACACGGCGTGTTCTGGTTGAAGACAGGAGGCGACAGTGAAACACTCATCGACAGACCCTAAGTTGCCAAGCCGGGTTGTGGGGCCGAGGGGTGTCGTTCCACCTGGAGGTTGAGCCTGACCCCCAAGCTTTGCCTGATTAGCATCCGAAGTGCAGAGCAGACCCTGTGATTTCAGGACCGAGTGCCCTAAAAGCTACTTCCATAGAGTCTTGCTTTTCAAACATCCTGATTAGGGTGATTTCCGAAGTCTGTTTGAACAGTCTGTCATTATTTGTTTAAGTTTGAAAGCTGTTTTAAATAAACACATGCTCATTTTATGTATTAAAAGCAACAAAGAGGGAAAGAAAACCTGGTCGTCTCCTGCGATCGGGACAGAATCCCAGCCTCGAGGAGGCGGCAGCCCACACCCTCTCTCATGCCAGGAAGGCGAGGCTCTGCCCGGCTCAGGGGTGGGCACGGTAGGGCCGGGAGGGGGTTGGGGTGGGGTGGGCAGCTCTTCTCCTTTTGCTGACTCTTTACATCAGAGAGGAGGTGGTTGGCGCCAGCTCTGGGTGCTCCCTCCTGCACAGATAGTTTATCCACAAACTTCAAATTCACAGGCTGAGTCTGAGTTCTACCCATAGCTGGTCTGACAGGGCAGGATCGCACAACCCCCAACAACCCCAGACTCTTGCTGCAGGGTTGGAAATAAGCCAGGGAGGTGTGCAAAGGGATAGATCACACTCGAGACCCCAAGCAGGAGGGCGCAAAAGTGTCTTCCTTCCTGTATTGGGACCCATTGTGATATCTCTCTCTCTCTCTCTCTCTCACACACACACACACACACACCCTCCTTTGAGGCAGCCTACCCTCTAAAATTGTCCTTTTCCCTTCCAAACCCTTCAAGGAGTTTCATTCAAATCTAATTCTAAGTAAAATGAGGTTAAAAATCAAACGAGTCGGTTTGGCAAAAAATGGGAAGGATACTGAGTTCTGCTGCAAAGAATGGAGGGAACGTTCAGGCCGAAGCCCCAGGGGTCTTTGCACAACTGATGAAGATGAACTCCCACGTAAAAGGTCCGCGAGATGCCCTTTGTCTCTGGCGGTACTTATCAAGCCTTCCATTCGTTAGTCATTCCAGTTATTTATCTCAGAAAACAAAACAAAACAAAACAAAACACCCAAACCAGGAGAGTGGCAAGGTTGTTTAGAATAACTAAAATCTGAAAACAGCTTAAGGATCTGAAATGTTGGTGAAACAACCTACGACATACCCATAGCATGGAATACTGCCCAACTGTGAAAAATTGTAGCCAGTATTTACTGGCGAGGAAAGATGTTGCTGACACAGAATTGAATGGAAAGGTAACAGCTAAACCAAGGCCTGCAAATCCAGGCCTCCGGCTCAGAGGTGGTTCTCAGTTCTTCTTATGCACTGGGGAAATTTTGTAAGGCTTGGCTGACTCTAAACAAATTAGAAATTCAGCTACACTGCACAACCTCCGAGCTGACTGTGTCTGCAGGCATTATATAATCAAGGGAAAGCCAACGGGAAGGCCCTCCTGCCCTCAAAGAGCTTACCATCCAGACAGGCGAGGCCTGGGAGCACATCTGAACTAAACTAAATCAATATGCAATTTCATCTCCTGCGCGGATCCTGACAGCAGCCAGGGGAAGAAGAAAATCAGGTGGTGCCCACAGGAAATCAAACACCGCTAAGCAAGCCCCTCGGCTATTTCCAGGTCTTGTGGCTTTACCATCCCATCTCCCCAGGAACTGCCTCCCTCGCGGCAACCTGAAAGTTAAGGGAGGGTAAGAAAAAGCACAGGAGGAACCATAGAACTCCAGACTTCGAGCCGGAGGGGGCTTGCGGATAAGCTCAGATTTCCTGCC